GCAACAATATATTACCCATTTTACGATTTAGTGGTAGCACACGACTACATAACTTGATTAATATTTCCTGTCGACACAGGGATTAATTAGTATCAAAAGATACAAATAGAAGTGTTTTATGAACTAAAAGATTCGAAAGTATATTTAACTGAAATACATTATAATTATCAGAATGAAAAGCCGAATGTTTTTAATAACTTACGAACTGAAAACTTGTATTTAGATATCTTTAGTAAACTTAAACACACAATTCTGGCTTACTTCTATGCAAGCACTACTATCTGCTCGAATTTTTGGTGACACAAATACTATGTTGAGACTTTATAAAACTGGTTTAGAAAAAGTTTAAAAATTTTAGAACAGTAACTTTTTTGATGTGTTGCGTCAGCGAGGTCACGTGACTCGTTCTCTCGAACCTTCGGGAATTGTCGGGAGATTACGAGATATAGGGTAGTCTGGTATATATAAGAGGGTGACAACGTGACGGGACAACAGTGTGTGTGTAGGTAATGAGTAATTGAACTGCAGTCAGAGAGAGACGTATTGTTGAAGTCTAGCTCGTGATACGTGAATTAAAGCTTGTTATAGCGCAACTGTTGAATTTGAGTGTATCGGTAAAGTTATATTCAGAAAGAATAAACCAGTTTTATTAAGTAAGAACTTGTGTCGCTAAAGTTTCGTCGGAACGAAGTTATGGAAAGTTAATTAACAAACGGAGACGTAACAGATGGAATTCAGGTTACGAATTCTCATTTCATTATTTTTCAAGTATTGTTTTACGGATATGTTCAAAACTGTCAAATTGTAGTTCATTTTGGTTTATTGAAAATTATTCAAATTTTGGTGACCTTGGGTAAATTTCCAGGTCACCATCTATTTTATATATTCTTCGTCCACATTAATAATATACACATTATTCTTTATTTGGTGTTTAAATCTGAATACCATCTAGAATAACAACAGCTGTTTTTTTTTAATCTAATATCAAAGCTCGGAATTTTAAAAAGTCTGTTCAGAGAGTACAAGGCTCTGACTTATGTAAATCGAAAACCTGTACAGAATTAAGAAGAAATCTGGACTTTAAATGTTAGATAAAAACAAAATTTTCAATAATGATAAGAAAGTTTACATTAAAAACATCAGATAGTATTATCAAGCTATGGTTAAACTTTTACATTATCGAGTTATGGTTGATTCTGTGTCTGATAAGGCGTTTTTCAATATCAACAAGTGTACAATTTGAGGTTTGTCAATTAAGTTGTTTGCGCTTTCGTTGGTACACCTGCGGACATAAGTGTTAGTAGGAAATATCCAAGCGGTGACAGACTGTACTCGAATTTATTATTCTTTGTTCACACTCAAAGGAAGAAAGACTTGAATCAGGTGACTTGTTTTTTCTTATTTAGAGCAATCGTACATTCAGATAAACGGGTAATAATTCTTTTAAAACGACTACCAAATATTTATAATAACCAAACAGTAAAAAGTATACTTTCGTATATACGCTTAAGGAGTAGGCCGCATAGCAGCAGAGAGAAATAAGTAAATAACGACTATATATATATATGCAGATACTTTTTGGGCATGCTTTTCGAAAATGAATGCTTACAAAATGAAAACCACATTTCTATTTGAAGTTATATATCTATATTAGGAGATGTTCTTACCCTTACTCCTCTTTCCTCCTGTTTTGTATGTAGTATACTAACGGAGACCTGCAAAACAATTGCGGTCAAAGTTGTATATTTATTGCAACAGTACTTCCCCAAGTACAGGGTTTTTAGAATAACACAAAATAGATATAATTGCAGACATTGAAATATATAACTTATAGTATAAATCCACTTTTCGTAGGCCTAACATTATGTTGCGTCAGCGAAGTCACATGACTAGTTTCTAGAACTATCCTGTACCTTGGCGAATGCTCTAGCAATTACTAGATATAGGGTAGTCTGGTATATAAAAGAGGGTGACAACGTGACGGGATAATAATGTAATGTGTGTGTACCTAATGAGTAATTGAAATTGGTTTCAGAGAGTGGGATAGCTCTTTTTTTTTAGAGAAAAATGGAAACGAGAGGCGGAAAATCAAACTACAGCTTAGCAGATTTTGATGGCAGCAATACAAAAACAAGAGGAGAAATTACAACAGTTGTTGGAGGAAAAAGAAAAGAAACAAGAAGAACGAGAAATTAAACAAGAAGAGAGATTACAGCAGTTGTTAGAGGAAAAAGAAAAGAAACAAGAAGAACGAGAAATTAAACAAGAAGAGAGATTACAGCAGTTGTTAGAGGAAAAAGAAAAGA